ATCGTTATTGTTATCATCTTCATTGCTATTATCATCATCAGTCTGGATGCTTGTACTTATCATTATTATTGTTATTATAATTTTTATCATTATATCATTATTTATTATTATTATCATTGTTATTATTATTATCATTGCTATTATTATTATTGTTATCGTTATTATCATCATTATCATTAGTACTATTATTATTATTTTTATTATTATTATCATTACTACTACTACTATTCCTATTATCATTACTATTATTGTTATTCTCATCATCGTCATCATCATTATCATCATTAACACCATCATTGTCATTAGCATTATTATTATCTGTATATTTATGATATTGCTATTGCTACTACTTTTATCATCATTATCATTGCTATTATTATTACTATAATCATCATTATTATTATCATTGTTATTATCATCACCCATAATCTTCTTATCGTTATTAATATTAGTATTATTATTTTTATCATCATCATCATCATTATCATCTTTAACATTATCATCATTAGTGCCATGATTTTCATTATCCATATCATTATTATTATTACTATTATTATCATCACCATCACCATCATCATTATCATTATCATTATCATTATCATTATCATTATCATTATCATTATCATTATCATTATCATTATCATTATCATTATCATCATCATCATCATCATCATCATTTTCATTGTATTCTTTATCTTTAGCATTGTTGTCATTAGCATTATTACTATTATGAACATTTTTATAATTATTGTTGATATCATAAGTATAATTAGTTATTATCATTACTCATTATCATCACTGTTAATAGCATCATCAATATCATCATTGTTATTATCAATGTTATTATCATTTTCATTAGCTTTCTCAGCATAATCATTATAATAATTATCAGTATTCTAATATTTTATGTTATTATTTCTATTCATATTCTTATTATTATTATTATCATTATTATCATCAACATTAATGTCATCATCATAATCATTATTAATGTTATCATCAGCATTATTAGTGATAGTGCCTTTATTATCAATACTACTATTACTACTACTACCGTTATCGTTATCAATATTACTGTTATCATTATTATAATGATGATAATTGTCATTATCACTTTTGGAACTTTTCTTATCAACAGTATCTTTTATCGTTACTGATGTGCTCATCATGATTACCATTGTTATTTTTTTTATCATTTTCACTTATTGTTATTCTCATCTTCATTATTATTGTTGTTGTTGCTGTTGTTGTTACTGTTATCAATATCATGATTATTATAATTTTCATTACTATTTTCATTGTCAGTATCTTTGTTATTATTATTACTGTTATCATTATCATTATCATCGCTCTCATTATCATTATCATAACTCTAGTTAGTATTATTATTCATACTACTACTGATATCATTGATATTATTATTTTCATTGCTTTTATTATTATTACTACTGTTATCATTCTTATTCCGATTTCCATGACGATTATGCTTTAATGCGTAATGTGATACTTGTTATGTATCAAGAATGGCACTACCGTCGATGCGTTGTTATCAGATTCGTGCGTATAAACCTTCAATCCCAGGAATCGGGAGATCAAAAGTCTGTGTATGTTTTATACGGATTTGAAAGGGTCTTAAATGTACTACTTCTCCCACGCCTTGTATAAAAAACAAGTAACTCTCCTATACATTCCAACCCAGGGCCATACAGTATACTACTCGCCCGGACTTCTTGCTACGGCTGATAATCAGTGCAATGCAGATCGGTGCAAGAGCACAGCAGAACCTGGTGCTCCGGGATATGAAAATGCGCAGTGTGCATGAAACAGGCTTGCAACAACCATCCGCTCTACTGCCGTGCATACCTGACCTCCCCCCTCCCCCCTCACCTCAGTGGGTGCAAAAACTTGTAACGCAACGAGAGAAGTGGTTATTACCGTTCACTGTATATGAATGGGAGGTAAACAAACCCACGTGGGTTAACAAACGACTGAAATTCGATGAAAATAGAAGAAATAAGGGAATTGATGTTGATTTCAGGTTTAAACAAAAAGTATTTTGGAAAAAGCGAAAGAGGAAGGAAAAAGCATCGCTAACAATGGTAACTGATTGGCAGTGTTTTCCCTTACCTCGGTGTAAACGTTAAAATTTATAAACGCTTATAATATTTCTTTCTTTCTTTCAGGTTGCATGTGCTTCTGTTCGTGCAAATGGAAAACTTGTCTAGTCTATAATAGATGAAATGGGAGGCTGGAAATACATTCAGTCCTTATAAGAACACGGTAATTGGTAGGTATTATTTACTGCGTGATGGAAAAAAATGATACTGTGATCTCCCATAGATAGAGATATTATTTTTCATGACTAAATCATTTATTTCATCAGTTATTACAAATGGGCAATATATTGCAAAACGTTAATCTGCCATGTCGTATATTTTTCCATACACATTTTTGTTTATTAACGAAGCAATCGAAATGGCAACAAACTATATATGTAAAAACAATAAAAACAAGTTGAACATGTAATTAACATTGTGCTCTCCTACAAGTTGTTTACAGAATAACTTTCATTCTAATGAAGGCAATAACCCTAATTCAAAGATGTTTCACTTTGACATAGGGCTCATATATGAAATAAGGAGAGTAGCGACAAGAACACACCAGGCACAGATGTAGCAGAGAATGGATGTATAAAAAACTGTAAACCTGAGGACTAAAAACTTTTTAAAATTGTGTATAATGAATACGTGTCTGTGTGTGTAAACGTGTGTGTGTATGTGTGTGTGTGTGTGAATGCATGTGTGTGTGTGTGTGTGTGTGTGTGTGTGTGTGTGTGTGTGTGTGTGTGTGTGTTAATGAACACAAGCACAAACACAGTAACAAGTAAACAAAATGAAAATGAGAGCAACCACAAAAGTACAAGGGACGTTAAAGCTCTTAACGAGTTCCTCTTCAGACGAATAATAATTCGAAATGGATGGATCTACTACGGTTTATTATTCGTCTGAGGACTACGAAACACAACTAAACGTTACGGTTATTTTTATATCTTATTGTGGCTCCTTCCATTTTCATAAAACATAAGTTTGTATGTGTATATATATATATATATATATATATATAGTATATTA